AGGTGGCTGCTCCTGCAACTCTGAATTCTTTTAATTGTTCAAAACAGACATCCATGGGTGATCAGACAGCCGCGATAAAGGATACGGACATATCCAAAGAGATGCAGCAAGATGCTGTGGAGTTTACCATTTTGGCCATAGAGAAATGTAACGTTGAAAGAGAAATTGCGACTGTTGTAAAGAGGGTAAATGTTTGATTGTAATATCCTTTTGTTGAACCCTATCTGCACCAGAAGTCAAGCAGTGTGGGTGTTGCTACACTTTTTGGAAAAGCAAGTTCTGTGGACACAAGGTACATTGGACTTTTCCTGTGGGCTGGTGTCCCTGTGTTCCTTTTCCCACTCTTTACGTGTACCTTTCTCAGTTTTTGTTTGACAATACCTTCCATTTTTAATTGTTTTGTTCACTGTGTCATTGTCTAGTAGAATAGGAGAGCATCTTCTGGCCTTTCCCAGTGTGACTGATTAGCTGGTAGAAAATACAGCCCTTTGAAGTCTGCTGTAACTTTCCACAGAGGGAATGCCTGTTTTTTTACCTAGTCCTTGACTTAAGTTGTGTTCAAATTAGTCTTAAGGTTGTATTCATAGTTCTGTAATAGTTGTGCAAGATCGGCTAGCTGGCTTAAAATTTGCAGGGAAAAGTAATTTTCTGTACAACTTCTGTATTCACATTTTCCTTTTATGTGCTGAACTGTGCCGAAATCCCCTGTGTTGGAGCAATGGTTATCTAGTGTCCACAGAATACCTGTTTTTATATATCCATGAAGAAGAATAACAGATGCACAAAAGATCTAGTTCTGATACGCTCTCTGCTTTGCCATTTCAGGAGAATGAAGAAATCTAAGGGTGCCACTGGTGGTTAAATATTACACGAGTCTAAGTGGAAGACCTGTTTGAAAAGTTGTTCAGCTAAATGGCACAATTGCTTCTGTTGGGGAGCTCTTCATTTCCCGTCACCCTAACAGAGATATAAGCAGGTTTATTTTTTCCATTTGTAAGAATGACATTCTATGTTAGTGGAGAGCAGAGGGTTCGAGCTTGTCAGATTTTCCTTGAGGCTCCTGGTTGGAACCTGAGAAGCTGTGGTGAGGAGATAGTTTATCTAGGGTCGTAATAACTGGTCAGAAATGCTTGCATGCTCTCACAGAAAGTTTCCTCATTTGAGAACTGTTGCATATGACAGTACATAGTGGCTGACTGGAATGTTCTGCTTTACTAAAAGCAGAGCTGTGTGTTTTGGGTTTTGTAACGTGTGGTAGGCTTCTGGGTGTGATGGGAGAACATGATCGCATGAACTGATACTTCAGTGGCATAGTTTGAGAACATGGTATGACTTTTGAGGGGGAATTCCTCCCTGGCACTTCCCTGGGCTTATTCCTCTCAGGCAGGAAGCACTATGGACTTTTTTTTTAGTGTTTAAGCAGCAGGTGAGGTATAAGAGGTAACACAGTCCTTGTACTCAGAGACATATGCTGCTGCTGAATTGCCTTTTCGAAAAGTGTTACTTGTTAAGAAGAGACACATTAATGACAAAAAATCTGTGGTCAACTTTTGGGTGAGATCTGTGCTAGTAGGAAGTTCCTAGTGGTCTCTTCTGCAGGAGTTCGAGAAGAAATACGGTCCCACTTGGCATTGCATTTTAGGAAGGAAATTTGGCAGCTTTGTGTCTCATGAGACCAAGCACCTCATCTTCTTCCTTGTGCTTGGAGTAAATGTTCTTCTGTTTGAAGCTGGTTAGAGCTGTGGATCGTTGTTCAGAGTTGCTTCTGCTTACATTACTGCACACTGACGGCCGTAGCTTAGTGCTTTCAGCCTTCCTGAGGAAGCAGACCTTGGTCTTCAGGGGTAATGTCGGATTTTTCTGGAGTGGTTCATGTTTTTGTTGTGTTTAGGGAAAAAAAAAAAAAGAGGCAAAAAAAAAAGCCTTGTATTTATTTTCTTTCCAAAGTCGGCTTCTTTGCTAATAAAAATGTTACATGTTTTCTGTCTTTAAGAGTTTTATGGCTGTTTTCTCTTTTTCACTCACATTGCTTGTGCTCCTCTTCATATCGCTGTGAACAACCACCTTTCAAAGAAATCTCAAATCCAGAGTACCCGAACGCTAGGCTATATGCACAAGTAAGTCCGTAACCCAAAGCTACACAGAGGAGCCCTGCGATTAGACAGGACCGTGTGCTCTCGGGGACAAGCAGGAGTTAGAGCGAGCCCTTGGCCTGGGTGGAAGGCAGTCTGTTTGTCTGATGGCCAACTCCGAGGGACTTGATGTAGGTAAGGACTGCAGGAGTAGACATGTGGAGCCTCGAAGATGAGCTCAGTGTCCTGCATGTGTTTTCAGTAACCAAAGTCCGTGCTGATTGCAGCTTCCTCGTTGAGAAGCCGCTCAGAAGCTGTTAAAGCTCTTTATCCAGTTGGAGGTAATGGAGAGCGCTTGGTCGGGCTCTGGTTTTACAGTAAATCCATCTGCCAGAGAGCACCGGCGGGGCTTTTAGCCGAGTCTCCTTCATATTCGCTTGCAGCGCGCTCAGTATTACAGTAGTTTTAGAAAGCGTTCAGGCTGTAGCCTGGCTCCTTCGGTGTCCGCGCTTCCCGCGGTCAGCCACGGCGGCGGGGCCGTTGCGGCGGGGCGGCAGGAGGGGGCGCTGCTCAGCCAGCAGGCGTTCCCGTCGCTATGGGAACGGGTGCAGGCGCGAGG